ACCCAAGCCTCCGTGCAGCGGGTTCCCTTCAGTCCGAAGGGAATTCCGCCATTTCCGGAGGCGCCACCCCGGAAGTCTGCCAGAACATTTTAAAGTCCCCGTCAAGCAAACTGCCAATCATTTGAACCTATCAGTTCATGACAAATAGGATAAACATTCCGATGCAATTGCGTAATGTAATGAACATTCCAAGGCAATCACATTTAAAGGCTGTTCAGATTGTGAAGATCTTTCGTGCCCGTTGAGGTGGGCGAACATGATCTGTGGGGGGGTCTGCATTTTGCCGAATTCACAGAAACTTAGTGCTCCCACAGAGATGTTAACATAGAGCAGAACTGCATTTTGCCAGCAAAGAGGGTTTTGTTTTGTCTTGTTCTTAAATTCAAAAAGCAAAGTGAGCTGGCCTTGAAGGGATTGCTTCACTGCAAAGGAAAGGAACCTGGTGCCTTCCAGATGTTGTTGAACTGCAACTCCCATCATCCCTCAGGATTTGTCCCAGTGGCTGGGGCTGATGGGAGGTGGAGTCCCAACAACATCTGGAGGGCCATGGGTTTCCAACCCCTGCGTTGTGAGTTTGCTGGAAACCTTCCATTGGTAGTACTTGGCTAGAGGGATCCACCAGTTGTCACAGGGAACAAAAAAGTCCCTGCGAACTCCTGGGGTGGCAGAATGCACCCCATCTATAAAGGTAAAGGGACCCCTGACCATTAGGTCCAGTGGTGACCGGCTCTGGGGTTGCGGCACTCATTTTGCTTTATTGGCCGAGGGAGCCAGCGTACAGCTTCCGGGTCATGTGGCCAGCATGACGAAGCCGCTTCTGGCGAACCAGAGCAGCGCACGGAAACGCCGTTTACCTTCCCACCGGAGTGGTACCTATTTATCTACTTGCACTTTGACGTGCTTTCAGACTGCTAGGCTGGCAGGAGCAGGGACTGAGCAACGGGAGCTCACCCCATCGCGGGGATTCGAGCTGCCGACCTTCTGATCAGCAAGTCCTAGGCTCTGTGGTTTAACCCACAGCGCCACCCGCGTCCCTACCCCATCTATGGTGAACCATTAAAGGACTCCAGAACCCTTTAGGTCTGGCTGTTTTTGGAAGGGAAGGTTTTTTGCAGTAACAGGAGCGTTGTCAAGCGCCAGGCAGGCCACAGCTGTGTTTGGCTTGGAGAGTCCCCAGTTGCACAGTGTATGAAATATCAGGCTTGGGATCGTAATTGCAGCTTCGCAGACCCCCTGGAGTCAGAAAGGCTACAGCAATGCCACCCTGCCAAATTTTTTGACAATTCAGGAACTGGTGTTTTTTTCCCCTGAATCAAAACTGGGGGCTTGCTTCCCTCTTGCGCTCAGAAAGAGGCAGGTATCTTCGAGTTTTCTTCAAAATGAAAACTGGTGTTCTGAAGGTGCCATCATATTACGTGCAAGCGGAAAAAATGCAGACTTTGCAACTCTTTGACACAGTGATGGCTGCACTGGTGTGGAGACCAAGGGTGTCTCAAGCCTTTCTCCCCACCCCTCCCTGACATTGGTTTCTGCCTCCCTTGTAGCGCTGCAGGCCCCAGTGAACTGGAGACTTGGGAAGCTACTGGGCCGAGGTGCCTTTGGGGAGGTCTACCTTTGCTATGACGTCGACACTGGCCGGGAGCTCTCTGTAAAGCAGGTGCCCTTTGACCCTGACAGCCAAGAGACAAGCAAAGTGAGTATGTGGACCAGATAAGACGCAGTGTGAACTCTCCCTCCCTTCCCAAATTAACGTGTGTGTGTGTGTGTGTGTGTTCGTTCCTCTGTGGGGCAGGAAGGTCTGAAGGGGGAGATAAGGGATCATAAGCAATTGAGAAGGACCTGGGATATTGACGAGGAAGCGCAGAGAGATAGCGCACCCTGGTTCTTTGTGCTTGCTTTTGCAGTGAAAAGTCGAGGAGGATAGATGTGTCCATATTTCTTACACATGGCAGCTTAATAGAGGAGGAGTTAATTGTTTTATTGTGTATTGTGCGTTCTCATTTTGTATTTCTCCGCTGCGAAGCACCCTCGGATCTTTGGATGAAGGGCCGTTTATGAAAATCTCACTACAGTGGTATCTTGTTTCTCGAACTTAATCCGTTCTGGGAGTCCGTTCAACTCCCGAAACTGTTCGAAAACCAAGGTGCGGCTTCTGATTGTCTGCAGGAGCTTCCTGCACTCAACCGGAAGCAGCGTCGGACGTTTGGCTTCTGAAAAACACCCCCAACTGGAACACTCACTTCTGGGTTTGTGGCATTCGGGAGCCGATTTGTTTGGGAGCCAAGCCGTTCGAGTACCAAGGTACCACTGTACAGGCAGGGAATGTTTTAGGTGCGTCCGATATGTATGTGACCGTGCGCATCACGCCGGCCCTGGAAGTGACCCGAAAATGTCATGAAAAGGGGCGGATGGGGTGGCCTTGCAAGGGCCCCACTGACATTGGTCTGGAATGTAATTCCCGAGCAAATTGGCCATTGCTAATAATAATAATAATAATAATAATTAATAATACAGCCTTACCTTGGGTTACAGATGCTTCAGGCTGTGCGTTTTCGGGTTACAGACGCGCCGAAACCAGGAAGTACAGGAACGGGTTACTTCCGGGTTTCGGCGCTCGCGCATGCGCAGAACCACTAAATCGTGCTTTGCACATGCGCAGAAGCGCCAAATTGCAACCCGCATGTGCGCAGATGCAGCGTTGCAGGATGCAGATGCTGTGGGTTGCGAACGTGCCTCTGGCACGGATCACGTTCACAATCCGAGCGTCCACTGTAATAATAATAATAATAATAATAATAATAATAATAATAATACAATGGTACCTCAGGTTACATACACTTCAGGTTACATATGCTTCAGGTTACAGACTCCGCTAACCCAGAAATAGGGCTTCAGGTTAAGAACTTTGCTTCAGGATGAGAACAGAAATCGTGCAGCGGTGGCGCAGCGGCAGCAGGAGGCCCCATTAGCTAAAGTGGTGCTTCAGGTTAAGAACAGTTTCAGGTTAAGTACGGACCTCCGGAACAAATTAAGTGCTTAGCCTGGGGTACCACTGTAATAATAATATAAACACCTTTGAAGCAATGGACCTCTCAACACCATGTGTTGGGGACAAACATGTTCTGCATGTGAGCTTCTCAGAGATCCCTGACTGAGAACAGGATGCTGAAGCAAGGTGGACCTTTTGGGTTTTCTGATCTTCAGGATGCTCTTATTATTTTCTCCCCTATCTGTTGGGGCTTCATATTGGGAGAAGGAAGCGATTGTGTGAATCCAGTTAGCACGGAGAAACCGTCTTCTATTTTTGGAAGCCCACGCCTGTTCCTTGCCGTGCTGCTCGACATTTCAGGGACCGTCGGGGTTTGAAGGACATTAGGCCCAATCTTGCACGAACACCATCCGTGCCCTGCACCCCAGAACAACTAGCTATGCCCACGGTCCCTTCCTTTTCCACCTGCAACTGCTTCTGTCTTTCTGCAGGAGGTGAATGCCTTGGAATGCGAGATCCAGCTGCTCAAAACCCTCCGCCACGAGCGGATCGTCCAGTATTACGGTTGCTTGCGGGACGCCGAGGAAAGAAAGCTGTCCATCTTCGTGGAATACATGCCAGGGGTAAGTCAGCCTGCATGGGCGTTTTTGTAAAGGTTGTGGACTTCTTAATGAACCCAGAGCTCCCAAACTCCAAATTGTTGTCGACCTTCAGTGTCCCAGGAGCAGACTTTGGTCATATGGCTCCCTGAGCGAGGACAAAATCTGGTGCCTCTCCCCCATAGCTGTCAACGTTTCCCCTTTTTTTAAAGGGAAATTCCCTTATTCCGAATAGGATTCCTCACAAGAAAAGGAAAAAAGTTGACAGCTATACTCTCCCCTCTAAATACTGCTTATTTCCACAATAATTCCTTTTGGCACAGTTGCTTTCGTTATGGGTCTGCCCAACAGGCTCACCGAAACGTCACATTATTACAAAAAACAGATGTTGTTGTTGTTATTTTGTGCCTCCTCAACTCGAAAAGGGAAGGGAAATTTCTGCACTGCCCTAAAACCGGCGCTCTCTGTGTTGCTCGTCTTCCTTCGACCAGCAAACCTTTTCTTGCAGCCCACGTGGACTGTGCCCCTGCTTTCCTGAAATAATTTTGAACGTACTCCTGTTTGGAGAAATGTTACATAGAGATCGGAGCCTGACAGCTGATATAAACTGCGAAAAGATATAACATTTTATACAGGCTGAGGTGGTTTGGTAGCCACTGATTGGCCAGTGTTCGTGATGTCATGGCCCCTTCCCTTCCTCAGTGGTTTCCCAAAGCAATTTTGCATCTCTTTTGAAATGTTTTCAATATGCTTTCGGGGAAAAAGAAAACGCAGTTTGCACACCTATGTGTGTTAAAATGTCAGTATGCTTCATTTACGGTGGGAGGAATGCAGCTAGTACAGTGGTACCTCGCAAGACGAATGCCTCGCAAGACGAAAAACTCGCAAGACCAAAGAGTTTTTGGTTTTTTGAGTTGCTTCGCGAGACGAATTTCCCTATGGGCTTGCTTCGCAAGTTTGTTTCCTTTTTCTTAAAACCGTTACAGTAATACAGGGTGCATTGCTTGAAGAGGTGCAGTTGCGACTTGACTTCGAGGAGCAACTCATAGCACGCGGTGTGGTAGCCTTTTTTTGAGGTTTTTGAAGATCTTTTTGAAAAAATGGAAACCGTGCTTCGCAAGACGAAAAAACTCGCAAGACGAAAAAACTCGCAGAACGAATTAATTTTGTCTTGCTAGGCACCACTGTATTTGGAATCTTCAGTATTGTCCTGTGGTTTAAGGTAACTTTAAGACAATTTCCACATTAAAAAACAACAACCATTTTTAATTGAGTACTGTATGTTCCCTTCCCCTTGGCATTTAAACTCTCTTTAGCAGAGGAAACTGCAGCAAAATATCCCCCTTTTCAGCAGGTGCAAGAAGGATCCTTCAGTCCTGTCAGCTAATAGTTCACTTCTCCATTTCATAAATGCCTGGCAGATAGCTCAGTTGGCTAGAGCGTGAGCGAATAACCCCAAGGTTGCAGGTTTGATCCCTGCATGGGACAGCTTGCATATGACCCCCGGGGTCCCTACAATTCTGTGATTCGAAATGTTGCTACTTATTTGATATGTAGCTTGCTTTTTGACCAGCCTCACCAAAATGGCTTGAGCCGTTAATAAAACGACACGGTTCCATTATCCAGAGTAGCCAACGGATCCTTGTTTGTCCCCCCACGTTCTTTAGGGTTCCATCAAAGACCAGCTGAAAGCCTACGGAGCCCTGACCGAGAACGTGACCCGGAAATACACACGGCAGATCCTGCAAGGGGTTTTCTACCTGCACAGCAACATGATTGTACACAGAGATATCAAAGGTAGGTGGAGATCCCAGGGGGAATGTTCCGCTCGCTTAGGTGAGCTCGTTGACGGTAAGCGACAAAGAAGTCCAATCCATTCAGCACAGGCACATTTTGCATATACCCCAAGGGCGCATTGCAGGCATAGGCAAACTAGGCCCTCCAGATGTTTTGGGACTACGACTCGCATCATCCCTGACCACTGGTCCTGTTAGATAGGGATGATGGGAGTTGTAGTCCCAAAACATCTGGAGGGCTGAGTTTGCCTATGCCTGGCCTATTGCAACCCGCAAGCATGCTCTCAGCGGGTAAAACAACACATAATACCACTGACCATGAGCCCTGAACTAACTCCAACCAGCTGAGTTAAACTGACGTTAAGAAATGCCAGCAAACATTCTGATTGTTGAAGGTGGGGCGAAAGACTCAGCCATGTAATGTTGCAAAAACACTGGTTCTGGTACAAAGAAAGTTAAATATTTGTTCAGAACCCATGCATAAGGTTTGCTGTTGTCCTTCCTTCCCCAGTTTTAGTTGTACCTGTGAGTTTTCCATTTTGTTTTTTTAGTTGGTCGGAAGTCACCTTGGGTCACTTTGGGCAAGATAAAGCAACCAACAGATTTAATTAACAACAACCACAATTTGTTGTTGTTGTTTAGTTGTTTAGTCATGTCCAGCTCTTCGTGACTCCATGGACCAGAGCACGCCAGGCACTCCTGTCTCCCACTACCTCCCGCAGTTTGGTCAAACTCATGTCCATAGCTTCAAGAACACTGTCCAACCATCTCGTCCTCTGTCGTCCCCTTCTCCTTGTGCCCTCCATCTTTCCCAACATCAGGGTCTTTTCCAGGGAGTCTTCTCTTCTCATGAGGTGGCCAAACTGTTGGAGCCTCAGCTTCATGATCTGTCCTTCCAGTGAGCACTCAGGGCTGATTTCCTTAAGAATGGAGAGGTTTGATCGGATTACAGTCCATGGGACTCTCAAGAGTCTCCTCCAGCGCCATAATTCAAAAGCATCAATTCTTCGGCAATCAGCCTTCTTTATGGTCCAGCTCTCACTTCCATACATCACTACTGGGAAAACCATAGCTTTGACTATACGGGCCTTTGTTGGCAAAGTGATGTCTCTGCTATTTAAGATGGAACAATAATGAACCCTAATATTTAAACAAGATATTCAACATTTTGTACAGTGCAAGACTGCTAGACCATTGATCCATCTAGCCCAGAGGATCCCCATTAGCTAAGTCCTGCAGACCCCCAGTTTTTCAGAAGCCAAGACATGGACCCCCTGCTTTTGAAAACATTGCTATCTCTGTGGTAGCTTTCGCTGTGTGAATGGTGCCACCATATCCTCCAAGATGCTCTGCCACTAAGCTTCTATTTCAGAAGTGGGCTCTTTTCTTACTTTCTTTAGGTGCCAACATATTGAGAGATTCTGCCGGGAACGTGAAACTCGGAGACTTTGGTGCCAGCAAACGCATTCAGACCATCTGTATGTCTGGAACAGGGATGAAGTCCGTCACGGGGACCCCATACTGGATGAGCCCCGAGGTGATCAGCGGGGAAGGATATGGAAGGAAAGCGGACGTGTGGTAAGATCTCAGTTAATCCCAGAAATGTGTTTCGGTTGTTGAGGTGGAAGGGTAGCGATAGCAGAGTTATTGCTGGAATCTCCTAGTGTATATAATTGTGAATGCCTTTTTATTTAGAGTATTGGCGTCCCGCTTTTCAGGCAGATCTCACAAAGTGGTTTAAATAAGATTGTTACAACAATAAGCGCTGGATTTTTAAGTAAAGTTACAAATGAACGGAAAATAAATGGGACTCGCCCGTATTGGTGACAGTCTTTGGCTTGCACGTGGTAGAATATTTTCAAATCTTCTCACTTCCACCTTCCTTTTGGGCAATGGATGAAACAAGCCGAATCACTTTCTATCAGGCAGGTTTTCCTCAGGGAGTTGTTGTGAGGAAAAATCAGATAGGACCGCCTAAGGCATTTTGTATCTTGATATAAATGCTATAAAAACCGTAATATGTATGATTGATTGAGTTTTAAAATACAGTGGTACCTTGGGTTAAGTACTTAACTCGTTCCAGAGGTCCGTACTTAACCTGAAACTGTTCTTAACCTGAAGCACCACTTTAGCTAATGGGGCCTCCTGCTGCTGCCGCGCCGCCAGAGCACGATTTCTGTTCTCATCCTGAAGCAAAGTTCTTAACCTGAAGCACTATTTCTGGGTTAGCAGAGTCTGTAACCTGAAGCGTATGTAACCTGAGGTACCACTGTATATTTTTTAAATTTAATTATATTAACATGTTTGTGTTTACCGCTCTGGGCTCCATTGGATGCAAGGTTAGATTGAAATGTAATAATCAATGAATTGTGAGGGTAAGAGAGCCTTTCTTCTTTCCTAATTCCTTCCTTCCCCTTGGCGTCGTCTTGCAGGAGTGTGGGCTGCACCGTGGTGGAGATGTTGACCGAGAAGCCACCCTGGGCAGAATTTGAAGCCATGGCCGCCATTTTCAAGATCGCTACGCAGCCCACAAAGCCCCAGCTTCCAGACGGCGTCTCGGACTACTGCCGCAGCTTCCTCAAGTTGATCTTTGTGGAAGAGAAGAGAAGGCCCACGGCAGAAGACCTCCTGAGGCACCCGTTCGTGAGCTTTAGCCTCTAGCAGACCTTCCCATTATCGGGAGGGACGGGGAAAGGACCAAAGATTCACACCATCGCGGAGGACTGAGCAACAGGACCAAAACCGCAAACTTCCAGATCCAGCCTCAATTTCCTGTTTGGGTTACTGCCATATCTGCTGCGCTGCTGACAATCACGCCTTGTTGTCCAGGCGGCATCCATCTTGCCAAGTCTCCAAAGCGTACTTGCAGCCATCTTGGCTTTGTGGGGGCTGATGGGTGACTGAGATGGAGGGATTGGGAGGAACTGAGGTGATGCTGGCAAGGAAGGACATCTTGCCTTACGAACGCCAATGAATTATCTGCTTGTGTGACGTATCCGATAGGATCTCACGGTCTTGATCAGCCGCGAAAGAACAAAAAATGAAGGATTGTTTGGCAGCCTCTTGTCAGGAGACAAGCGCTGAAAGCCGCAGAATGGGCCGGGTGCTGTGTAGAACTAGCTTGTCACTTGGTTGGCAACCCTTAAAAAAAGCAGGCGAGGCCTGAAGCGAGTGGAAATAAACCCCCAGCACAAACGATCAAAGGCACATATCTACTTCTGTTTGAAAAAGGAGAAGCCATTACTAGAAGCAAAGAGTTCTGGTGCACATAGAACTGTCTTTGGCTTTTGGGAGCAGAAAGCAAAGAGGATTCCTTTGTATATCGGGTGGCAATTATAATCCAGAGGGCAAACGTATCCGCAATCCATCCTAAAGTTATCAAGTCAGGTATATGACTGCAAAAGTGATCGTGTCGAACAGGTAGCTATGGGAATTGTAGAACCTTATAAGATTCCCGAAAAGCTATCTTTTCCTTGGACCCAAAGGAGAAGCAGTTCTACCCAGCCCACCTAGGAGAGAAATAATTGTTTAAAATCCCCAGAGATGGAGACCACAGCAGTCTGTCTCTGCAATATATTCCCTTGCCCGGAACCCTAAACAGGAGGTTGCTAATGAATCCACAAGCTGTCGCTTGGCTCTGCTTCGTGCAATTGTAAGGGGCCAGTTTACACGTTAAAGACCCCCGCCCTGCTTATTTGCAATGGAGGCTCTCAAAAAAACATTTTCCTGAGGCGGAAGTAATGTTTCAAAATGATTTACTACCAGAGCTGCAACATATGCAATGCAATCCTAGCCATTAGAGATAAGTCGTCTTAAATTCAATGGGAACCCCTTCCAGGCCACTGTGCAGGGTTGCAGCTTTTGTCAGATCAATTGGATTAATCAGTTGTTCATTTTTATTGATTAAAAAGTGCCCACCCACCCCCATTAATTGCCAGCAGGGTTTTTTATATATATAATTTTCTTTTTATGGAAGCGCTTCTGCAAACTACAGCTGTCAAGTGCTGTCTTAAAAGAAACATTCCCTCTTCTACGTTGATGCCTGTTGTGGCACATTTATACATATTCTAAAACCAAAGAAAGTACTATCTTTCTATCTCGTTTCTTCGGAATGATTATTTAGATGCACATTTTTTTATGTGGGTTTAGTTGGCTAATCAACTAAACCCCTATGAAGAATTGAACTAAGATTAATTTGGGTGACAACCCTACTTTTCACCAAAGGCATTGCTTAGGGGAATATACAGTCATACCTCGGGTTGAATGCGCTTCGGGTTGAGCGCGTTACTTCCGGGTTTCGCTGCTTGCACATGTGCAGACGCTCAAAATAACGTCATACGCAGAAGCGGTGAAAAACGACATGCGTGTGCGCAGACATGCCGTCGCTAGTTAGGTTTGCTTCTAGATGCGAACGGGGCTCTGGAAGGGATCCCATTCGTATCCAGAGGTACCACTGTGCATGCTAAGGAGCATTAAAATGATAGGGACCTTATAAGGAAAGGCTGTTCAGCAGCCTGCAAGTGGATGTTATCATATTCAATTGTAGTTGCAAGAGGATGTCCCGCCAGCCAGTCACAGAAAATTGTATCTGGTCATCTCCTTCCTGAGTTGATCGACGTTGCTCAGTGCCAGTTTAGCAATCCTTTGGAAACATGGCAAATAACAGCAGATCCCATGGCTATGGTTTTTTTA